GGAGCTCCACTGTCTTCAGCTCAAAGTCGCTATCCGTAGGCTGGCCATGGAAGTGCTTCTTCAGGGTCCAGTTCTTAGCACGCACCATCCTGAGGCTCCTAGGATTCAGTAAACACAGAGTCAGCTTCCCTGAGATGACCGCACTCTTAGGGGTGCAGGCCATTGCCAAGGCCAGCTGGCACTACCTCGGCACACTCGCCAACAGCCACATTCCATGGGTACTTCTCTGGTGCTCGTGCTGCACCAAGCGCTTCCTATCTGCTATGTCAATTTAGCCTCATACCTTTCCAAAAGACAGATGAGAAAACTGAGGCTAAGGGGCCGGCGCTGTGGCACAGCAGATTAAAGCCCCGGCCTGCAGTGCCTGCATCCCATACGGGTGCCACTTTGAGTCCTGGCTGCTCTCTTCCCGTGCAGCTCCCTGCTAATGTGCCTGGGAAAGCAGCGGCACATGGCACTTGGGCCCCTGGACCACCTGGGAGACCTGGAAGAAGACCCTGGTTTCTGGCTTCAGCCTGGCCCAGCCCTGTCGCTGCAGCCACTTGGTGAGTGAATCTGTCTCTACCTCTCTCTCTACCTCTACATGTCCAATAAGTAAAAATAAATCTTTCAAAAAATAACACAAAACCGGAGGCTTAAAGAAACCTCCAGGACAAGAAGAAACGTAAAGGACTGGAGTTCCAGCCGCTGGGTTCGAGTTTTCCTCTCCGGAACTCCCCTGGGCCTGCAACCATCCCCAGTTTCTCATCTCACAGGGACGAATCCTCAGGAAAAGAGCGACCAAGGCCAACAACCTGGTTCAGCTGGAGAGGACCCCGCGTTCCGAGAGGCCCGCGGGAGCCCTGAACGCCACCGGGGGGCGCCGCTGCTCCGCCCGCTGTTCACGCGCAAACTTTCTTTAGCTCCCAGAAGGAAAACCGAGGATTCGCGTTTGAACTTGGCACCTCATATACCGAGAAATGAGTCGACTTGACCCGAACTCTCTCGGATCCAGCTGGAGCCGCGCCGTCCTCCCGAGTGAGTCAGCTAATTCATATTATCTTCATCGCTAAACCATAATCGTTTACACTTGTGGACAACGTGAGATTCTGATATACACGTACTCATACGCACGTAGACTGAGTCAATCAGGCGAATTATCATGGTCATCACCTTATTTTCCTACCGTGTTCATGGCGAGACTCTTGGAATGACCCTCTTCGTCATTTCGAGCAGTCCAGACCTGAGCGCTGACCACAGTCCCCCGCTGCGCGCGAGCCCCGCAGCCCCGCTCCACCGCCTCTCTCAACCTGTGCCCCCATCAGCTCCTCAGTCCCCTCCCGCCCCCGCTCCCACGAGGGTAACCCTCATCTCCTCCCGTTCCCCGACTCAGCTTTTCTCGAAGGCTTTACCTATTCTGGTTCCTCTCCCCAAAAAGGTCACAGCTTTTCCAAATGGCCCCAACTCCCAACGCCACAGCAGCCCCCAACTCCGGAAACGGCCTGGCCGCAGATCAGGTGCGTCCAGGGAGCTGCGAAGATCCCAGAGATCTGGAGCTGGGGTCCCGCCTCCCACCCTGCGGGCTCCGCCCCTGGCCGCCTCCATTTCCGAATTCCTGCGTCTAGGAATCATTCCCCTCCCGCGGCGGTCTGCTTCCGCAGGCGCACGGACTCTGCAGCCTGCAAAACCTCGGCCAGCCCCAGTCCCCTTGCGGGCGGCCTTGGGGGCCACCAGCAATGCAGCTGGGTCTCGCCCTTCTTTCCCTCCCGATCCCGGACCGCTCCAAGCAGCCGCCGAGGCCAGGAGGCCCCGGGACGTCCGGCTCCCAACTTTCTCGGAGCGCAGGGCGGAGACGCCTGGCAGCACCAGGAGCCCCAGGGCCGGGCGCCCACGAACCCCGCAGGGCCGTCCGGAACCCAGCAGGGAGGAGGAAGAGCGAAGAGGAAGCAGGGCGTCTGCTCACCGGGGGCTGCAGGTCCCAGTGCAGAGGGAAGGCGGTGTGAGCGCCCCACAGCCCCAGCGCCTGAATTCAGGGCGGGAGGGGGCAGGGGTGGGGCTTGCGAGCTCCGCCTGCTCTTCCTTGGAGCCCAGCCCCAGAGGGCGGGTTGGTGGCCTCCTAGGGCCTTGGGTGTTGCCTTCTGATGGGTGCCATCTGTCCTTGGCTCTCTGCGTGTCAGAGTACCAGTTCTATTGCATTTGGGCTCCCACCTAAAGACCCCGGTTTAACTTAATCACATTTGAAGCTCCTGTTACAAATATAAACGCATGGATCGGGGCTCCTATGATCTCGTCTATCCTAATTACCTGTTTAGAGACCCTGTCTTCAAATATGGTTACATTCAGGGGGACAGGAGGATGAGGTGAGGCACAACTCATCCTCTAACCTGGTGTCTGGGCAGAAGGTGGTGGATCCACACGGTGGGGTTAAAAGCAGCAATGGGAAGCTGGGTTTGAAGTGCATACAACACCCTGGATGGGCCCTGAACACCAGGCTGCAGCAGGAATTTTAGCAGAGGACACAAGTCATCAATTCCAGTTCCAGGGAGTAAGAGCAGGTGCGGGAGGGTGTTGGCACAGAGCTGAAGATGGCGCATGGGGTGCCCACATCCCGTATCAGAGTCCCAGCTCCACTCCTGACTCAGCTTCCTGCTGATGTGCACCCTGGATGCAGCAGGGGACAGAGGGGGGTAGCTCATGGAATCAGGTCCCTGCCACCCACAGGGGAGACCTGAATTGAGTTCTGGCTCCTGGCTTCAGCCTGTCCTGCCGTGTCCAGTGCAGGCATTTGAGGAGTGAAATGGAAGATCTGCCCTTCTGTCTCTGTCCGGTGCTCTCTCACTCTGCCTCTCAAATTAATAAAATTAATATACATTTTTAAAATACTTAAAAACTACTTATTCATTTTTTTAGAAAAAGCATGTGCCCTCAGTGCACACAATGTAAGAGCATGTTTTTTAAAAACTACTTACACATTAAATGCATCACAACACTGCCTATGGCAGGAGGAAGAGAAAATTAGGAGAAAATTTTAGAGGCACATACACTAGTGAGCGAGAGAGAATGTGGCCAGCCATGGGTGATGATTTACACAGATGGGTGTGGAGGGCTTAATTCTAGACCCCGAGGTCCCCAATCAAACACCAACAGGGAAGAAGCCACAACCGCTTCCCTGCATCCTCTTGGCCTTCTCCAGTCTTCTCTGTAGTTGGAGCTGTGACTTTGTGACAAGGCATAAGCAGAGATCTGATAGGGTGGAGATTTCAGGGAAATGATGGTTTAGCTGATGAAGAGACAAAGTGACCAACTCAGGAAGACTCATTGTTGTCCTTCTCCCTGCCTGGAAACGCTGCCTGATATCAGCCAAGTTCTTGTCACTGTGCAGACTGCAGTGTGGGGGAGAAAGGGAAGCTGGTTCCTGAGCAGGTGCCTCAGCCCTGGACTTCCTGCTTTGGACTCCTTGTGGCACAAAGACAAAAGTGCTGCTTAAGCCGTGTGGTTTGGGTCTGGACCACAGAATGCCTCCCTGATGCGTGGAGTCCACACCCCCGTGTTTCCTGGTGGGAATTAATCAAGTGCTTCTCTCTCCTGGAGGAAGGGCGGGTTGTCAGTGCAGTGGGTCGAGAAGCCCCCTCTGCCTGCTGGGCCACTTCCAAAGCTTACCGGGAGCGCGTGGGGCAGACTTGGGGAAACAGCTGCAGTGCTTACAACACTACTAGACAGGGTCCTTGTGAAGATCAAGTGTGAGGTGGACACAAAGTACAGGGCAGCAGCAAGCCCCCTAACTTGTTTTTCTTTCCCTCTTCCATCTCGTGTTTTTTTTTTTTTTAATTTTTCAGAAAGGTTTATTTATTTATTTTCAAGGCAGAGTTGCAGAGAAGCAGAGAGAGAGACGTCTTCCATCTGCTGGTTCATTCCCCAACTGGCCACCATTGCCGGAAGTACACCTATCCGAAGCCAGGAACTAGGAATTTCCTCTGGGTCTTCCCCTGTGGGTGTGGTCCCAAGGCCATGGGCCACCTTCTACTGCTTTCCCAGGCCATTGCAGAGAGCTAGATCTGAAGGGAGCAGCCAGAGCTCATGGCAAGAGTCTTGGGTGATCACTAACATCATAATTAAGAGTGTTAATTGTTGAATTAACAACAGAAGTCACCATGCACTTACTCCCCATGTAGGACCTCTGTCCTTAATCAGTTGTACTATGAGAATTAACTGGAAATCTTGTTCTCAAATAGTACTTGATATGTTCTGTGTGTTTGTGTGGGTGCCAAGTGTTGAAATCTTCACTTAGTATAGAGTTGGTCTTCTGTATATAAAGTTCATTAAAAATGAATCTTAATGAAGAATGGGATGGGAGAAGGAGTAGGAGGTGGGACAGGAGTGGGGGTGGGAACGTGGGTATGGGGGAAGAACCTCTATATACCTAAAGTTATACCTATGAAAGTGGCATTCATTCGATAAAAGCTTTAAAACTAAATAAATCATTAGAAGAAAAAGAAGAGGAGCAGCCCATATGGGATGCTGGCACTGTAGACGGTGGGGGTTACCTGCTATGGCACAGCGCCACCCCCAACAATTGTTTTAAAGTATTTTTATATTCATGCATATTTTTTGCAGCTACCTAAATACTATTATGTGTGGTTTTTTTTTTTGTTTTTTTTGTTTTTTTTTTTGCAGCTGTGGTGACTTGCTCTGCTTTGATATTCAATCCACTCGCATGAGAATCCGTGTGGGTTGGTCCCAAGATCCCTGCACACCAGTGTGGTTATGTCTTCTGACATAAGCAGTAGGCGTAGTCATCTTGTGACTTCAAGTTTCCTGATTTCTGCAGGGAAGCAGCCAACTCTTATGCTCACTTCATAGAAGCAAAATCAGAAGTTCAAGGTCATAGAGGTAGTCAACTCTTGAACTCCAAAGCCATTATCTTCCACCATAGCCCAGAGAAGCTGAAGTTGGCAGTGAGAAGATGACTTTCAATTGTTCCCTATGAAATTTACATCTCTGTCAATAATCACATCCACGTATTTGCTTATAGAAATTTTATTTGAGAGGCAGAGAAAGAGGGGAGAGAGAATTCCCACCTGCTGGTTCACTTTTCAAATGCATGCAGTGGCCCAGGTTGGGCTGGGCCTGGCCAAAGCTAGGAGCCAAGCACAAACACAAGGCCTCCCATGTGGGTGGCAGGAACTCAATTACTTGAGCCATCACCTGCTGCCTCCCCAGATGCACATTAGCAGGAAGGTGGAGTCAGGAGCAGAAGCCCAGGCATCTCAACTTGTAGACCAACCCCCCCCCCCCCCGCATGCATTTCAATGGATTTTATGACATCTAACTCCTTGCAGGTGCTGTTTCCTAGATGATTGAGGCAGGGTCTACTTTTACTAAGTGATGGGAAAAATCAAGTCATGAGGATGATCTCCTGCTTGCAGGTGCCACTCTTTAGACTTTCACTACGGCTTTCCCCACATTCTCTCCTTTCAGCATTCTCATAAACGCAGCAGGCATGTTTTCAAAGCCTTCAATGACGAATTCACGATACTGGATTTTCCCCTGTAGGGAAACAGCAACATGTACTAGGTGAATTTCACTTCCAAATACCACCCTTCTCTCATCCTAGCATCGGATACATCCCAGGAGCTTGGAAAAGCAATGGATACATCCCAGGAGCTTGGAAATACGAGATGGAGTACTTGTTCTTTGGGAACAGGGTCGGTTTGCAGACAAGAGGCACACAGAGAGAAGTCAGTCTAGGGGTGAGACCCACATGCACAGTATCTGTAGCATGACAAAGCACATTTAAGAATTATTTGCAGATCAAGATTAACAACAGGAGAAGTGTCAGAGGCAACAAGTGAGCAGGTTCTAAGTCAGTCCTGTAGTGGAAGTGGAAGCGGGGAGACCTGTCTGCGTGCTGTCATTGCCATCTCCTCCCATAGCGCGACAATGCAGCATCATCACCTCTGTATGCCTCTGAAGAGCCAGGGCAGTCTGGGAATTGGTCTCTCCTTCAAGCTTTCAATCCGTGTTTAACGTTTATTTATGAGTGAGAGCAAGAAGCGTTCATGTTAGTGTGGAAGATTTTTCATTTCTCTTCCCACAATGCGCCAGGGAAGGCAGCAGATGATTACCAAGTACTTGGGTCTCTGCCACCCATGTGGGAGACCCAGATGGAGTTCGGGTTCCTGGCTTCTGCCTGGCACGGACCTGTGTGTTGTGGCCCTCTGGGGCGTGAATCAGTGGATAGAAGAGCTTGCTTTGTCACTCTGCCTTTCAAGTAGATGGAAATAAATGAACATATAACAAGAAAGAGATTTCAAGTAGGCAACAGTAGGCAGCAGTTCAATGTATTTTGTTATAGATGGGAAGCAGTGATATGGATTTGCAATAGAAAAGAGTAGAGGGAGAGTTGTTTTGTTTTCTTTTGTAAAATGGGAAAGGTAAGATTTGTATTTATTTTTTTTTTTTACAGATTTATTGATTTGAAACTCAGAGTAACAAAAAGAGAGAAGGAGAGGGAGAGAGAGAGAACGAGAGAGACAGAGGTCTTCCATCTGCTGGTTCACTCCCCAATTGGCCGCAATAGCTGGAGCTGGACCTATCCAAAGCCAGGAGCCAGGAGCATCCTCCGGGTCTCCCATGTGGGTGCAGGGGCCCAAGGACTTGGGCCATCTTCTGCTTTCCCAGGCCACAGCAGAGAGCTGGATTGGAAGTGGAGCAGAAGGGACTAGAAACAGTGCCCATATGGGATGCTGGCACTGCAGGCCAGGGCTTTAACCCATTGCACCACAGTGCTAGCCCAAGAATTGTATTTTAAAAAAAGAAGCAGCAGTGGGCCAAAGACAGGCAGAATCTGATGATGTGGCAGAGAGGGAAGAGCTGTTGGAGTGACGTCTCGAGGAGCAGAGGGGACGCAGGTCTAGTGTCCAGCTGGGGGATGGCTCCAGAGCCCCTTACCTCTAGAACCCACGTCAGCAGCTCCTTCAGCGCCTTCTGGCGCACTTCTCCCTTCCAGCGGTTGAAGATGAACCCTTCCATGCGGATTTCCTGGTAGATCACGCTCTCCGGGGATGGGCCTGGAGAGAGGACGGCACACGTGGGTGAAGGGTCCAGGAGGGCGACTGGGGTGCCAACCTGAACAGTACAAGTCTCTGCCAGTGTTCTCTGAGAGCCTCACCTCCAATTGCCTCCACTCCTTGCTGATCCATGGGCCACCCCTAATCAGTATACTCTGGTAGGCAACCCAAGGGCCCCCAAAGAAGTCCACATCCTAAACCCCAGAACCTGTGACTCGATCACCTTACTTGGAACAAGGACCTTTCAGGGGGTGGGCATCAGAGAAATGGAGCTGTGTCTTGAGCCAGAGAGACGGATGCGGGTGCGTGAGGCGTGAAAGTGACGTAGCCAAGCGTTAGCCGGGTCGTGCAGGGAGAATGCACTACAGAAGACCCACCTCAACCAGATTTCTTTTGAGTGAAGGAGTGGACTCCCCTTTCCCTCTGTTGGAAGAGACACTGTATCTGGGGTTGTCCAACCTGCCGGGGATGTTGATTTCTTTATTGAGAGCAAAAAAGCAAAGGTGGGGCCGGCGCCGGGGATCAATAGCCTAATCCTCCACCTTGCAGCGTCGGCACACCGGGTTCTAGTCCCGGTCGGGGCGCCAGATTCTGTCCCGGTTGCCCCTCTTCCAGGCCAGCTCTCTGCTGTGGCCCGGGAGTGCAGTGGAGGATGGCCCAAGTGCTTGGACCCTGCACCCCATGGGACACCAGGAGAAGCACCTGGCTCCTGGCTTAAATCCGCGTGGTGTGCCGGCCGCAGCACACAGGCCGCGGCAGCCATTGGAGGGTGAACCAACGGCAAAGGCAAGACCTTTCTCTCTGTCTCTCTGTCTCTCTTTGTCACTGTCCACTCTGCCTGTAAAAAAAAAAAAAAACCAAAACAAACAAACAAACAAAAAAAACAAAGGCGGCATTAAAGCTGGCAGAAATAACTCTGGTCTCTGCGCTATCCTAACAGTGAAATGTGTTAGAATTTCTGGGGATCAGGGCAGGGCAGGATGCAGTCTGATGCCAATGGGATGCACAAGGCCAGCTAAAGTCTCAAAGGCCCAAATGAGCAGCTGAACTTCCCAAGCCTGATGGCTGAAAAGACTAGATCCAGTCACTGTGTCGGAATATCTGACCGTCCCTAGGACTGGGAGTTAATGAATACAGGGCTTGGTGAACAGAGCTTTGGATGCGGGTCAGTGCGGAGGGGGAGAGGGCAAACTTCAGAACTGCAGAGTGGGAAAACGAGGACTGGAAAGCACAGCAGGACAAGAGAGAAACAGGACAGCACAGCGACGCAAGGAGGGGAATGCACGCGCCTTCCCCTGTAGTGGAAACCATCAGACTGGCAGGGTCTGGAGGCCTTGCTGTGCAGGAAGCAGCGAGACTGACGCACACGCAGCCTGCGCTGCCCTCACCTGTGTCAGGTCTCCCTCCACCCCCTGCACCTGCAGCCGGGTCTCTGATCCTGCAGAACCCTAGTATTTTACCAACTGAAGTGTTCTGCTCACACATCAAATCCTGGCTGTCTTTTTACAAACTGCAAAAAATGATAGATAAAAAAACTCAAACTGCCGATCACTTTCTCCCATATTTTTGGATCTTGTGATTTTCTATATAAAATTCTAATATAACCTGATTTAGCATGACATTACATATTCTTATTTTCATAAGTACTATTTCACCAAGAATGGCAGGAAACTGTTAAACTCTGATAGTCACTGGCCTATCCCACATCTATGACTTTTCTCCTTGTCCAGCATTCCCACACCCAGGGTCATGTGCACAAATTCATTACCTGGTGGAAGCTGGCCGGTACTGTTATACATAGAAATGGCCCCACATATTGCAACTCTCCCAAATTTCTTCATCTGGCGGATAACAGTATTGGAGAACTCTCCACCTACCTACATAGACAGGAAAACAAAGCAAACCTTAGGTAATCCAAACATTAGGAGATTCAGGAGAATCAGTAAGTAAGTCAATCATTTCATAATATTGGTTTTAGCAGTAGCGAAGTTCATTGAATTAATACAACTGTATAGAAATTAGAGTTAGAAAGAGACGTTAAAAATGGACATTTCTGGGCCGGCGCCGCGACTCACTAGGCTAATCCTCCGCCTAGCGGCGCTGGCACACCGGGTTCTAGTCCCGGTTGGGTTGCCGGATTCTGTCCCGGTTGCCCCTCTTCCAGGCCAGCTCTCTGCTGTGACCCAGGAGTGCAGTGGAGGATGGCCCAGGTGCTTGGGGCCTGTACCCCATGGGAGACCAGGAAAAGCACCTGGCTCCTGGCTCCTGCCATCGGATCAGCGCGGTACACCGGCCGCAGCGTGCAGGCCGCGGCGGCCATTGGAGGGTGAACCAATGGCAAAGGAAGACCTTTCTCTCTGTCTCTCTCTCTCACTGTCCACTCTGCCTGTCAAAAAAAAAAAAAAAGGACATTTCTGGCCAACACCACGGCTCACTTGGCTAATCCTCCGCCTGCGTCACAGGCACCCTGGGTTCTAGTCCAGGTTGGTTCACTGGATCCGGTCCCAGTTGCTCCCCTTCCAGTCCAGCTCTCTGCTGCACTTGGGAGTGCAGTGGAGCATGGCCCAAGTACTTGGGCCCTGCACCTGTATGGGAGACCAGGAGGAAGCATCTGGCTCCTGGCTTCGGATCGGTGTAGTGCGCTGGCCTTAGTGGCCATCTGGGGAGTAAACCAATGGAAGGAAGACCTTTCTCTTTCTCTCCCTCTCACTGTCTAACTCTGCTTGTAAAAAAAAAAAATGGACATTTCTCTTTGACTCTAGGAACACACTGCTAGAATTTATAAAGTTCACTTTATTATACTTTGAGATTATCTGATCATTCTAATGATCTCCTTGCTCCATGCTCTAAAGTATTGGGGGGAGGGGGTGGCACTGTGGTGCAGTAGGCTAAGCCTAAGCCTGCAGAGCTCACATGCCATATAGGTGCCAATTTAAGTCCCAGCTGCTCCACTTGCGATCCACCTCTCTGCTATGGCCTGGGAAAGCAGTAGAAGATGGCCCAAGTCCTTGGAGCCCTGTACCCACGTGGGAGACCTGGAAGAAGCTCCTGGATCCTGGCTTTGGATCGGTGCAGCTGAAGCCATTGTGGCCATTTGGGGAGTGAACCAGCGGATGGAAGACCTCTCTCTCGCTCTGCCTTTGTCTCTCTGCCTTTCTCTCTCTCTCTCTCTGTGTCTGCCTCTCCTCTCCCTATGTAAATGTGACTTTCAAGTAATGTAAATAAATATTTTAAAAACTTAAATAAAAGTATGGGAAAATAGTCAAGAAGAACAAACTTAGAGGACTCACACTTTTCGATCTTAATATAAAACAAAATTAATCAATTCTGTGAAAATACAAACATAGAGCAATGAAACAGAAGTGGGAGTCTAAAAGTGAACTCTAGCATTTATGATCAATCAATTTTGTACATAATGCTGAAACAATTCAATAGGGGAAACGCTCCTTTCAACAAACAGTGCAGAATAACAGGATAACCACATGGGAAAGAATGGAACTGGACTTCTTCCTCACACCACACATAGAAATAAATGGAAATGTCCTGTGGACCTCAGCCTAAGACTAAAATTATTTTATATACCATTGTCTCTAACAAGGGACTTGTGTGCAGAATACAGATAGAGGTCCTACAGCCCCACAAATCACCCACTTAAAAATTGGCACATGTTGGAACAGACATTTCTCCAAACTCGGTATACACATGGCCAGTATGCAGGTGGAAACACTGTCAATATCAGCAGCCACAGGAGAATGCAAAACAGAACCCCAGTGAAATATCATTTCTAACATGCTGGGGTGGCTAAGCGCAAGAAGAAGGACAATGACAAGCCTTGGTGAGGGGGAGGAGAAACTGGACCTCAGAGACTGCGGGTAGAAATGTCAGATGGGGCAGCCTCTTGGACAGCCAGTTCAGCAGTTCCTCAGAGCATGAAATAGGAGATCGCCACCGGCCTTCAATCCTACTCATAGGTGTATGGGGCACTGCAAAGGGTTCACGAAAACATGGAATTAAAAGGTAAATGGATTTGGTGCAAAAAGTTTTAAAATTTGTGAAGACAAAGGGTATGCAAAAAAAATTCATAAAATGTCTACTATGAAAAAGCTATGGCTAGAATTCAAAACATTTTGCATCACAATAAACATTTTCAGCTCCCTGACCCATGGACTTTCTGAAGTATCCTGAGATACTCAAAAGACATGCCAGCTCATCCGCACGGAGACCTGTACATGAACGTTCGTAGCAACACGACCCACTGCAGCCAGAAAGGGGAGCACCTCGCTGCCCTTCCCCTGAGGAGTAGGGGACTCCGATGCGGTGTCCACAGAAGGGAACGTTCAGGATGGTGCACTGGTAAATCCTATGACATGCTGACCTTAAAAACCTTTTAGGTCAGAGCGGCTGTCATATCATCACTTTGGCACGGGTGGGAGCAGAGGCAGCTGCTAATGAGTACAGCATTTCCTTTCAGTGTGATGAAAATATTCCCAAACTGTGGTGGTGGTCATACAATTTTGTGAATACACAAAAACCCACTGAATTCTACGCATTAAAGGACTGAATTGTATGCTGCGTGTATTCCATCTCAATAAAAAATCTTTTTAAAAAAGACGTGTGGTTTCTCACATGTTCTAGAAATCTGTCTTTTTATAGTAGCTATTTTTTTAACTTTTATTTAATGAATATAAATTTCCAAAGTACAGCTTATGGATTACAATGTTACAGTAGCTTACTAGTACGTCACATTAGGTCCAGATGTACTTACATTATCAAAATAACAATCGTAACCATCAGGAGCGGCTTTTTTCAAAGTTTCTTCCAGGGACTTCACCGTCTTGTAGTTAAAGGCAAAATCAAATCCGATCTTCTTAAGGTAGTCGACCTTTTCCTCAGACCCTGCTGCTCCCACGACTCTGCAGCCCTGAGGGAGAAAAAGGGGACCTGCTGATGAGCCGCAGGTGCGGGCCAACTGCACTTGCCTCTCTAGCACAGACAGGTGCCCGAGAGCACCTCCTTAGGTACCCACCACAGCTGGTCGACAGAGTGCAGAGGGCAGGTTAGTCTCTGGACCAGCGAAAAGCTCAACTTCAGCTCGCCTGTTGCAGTGAAGGGTTCCACTCAGGTATCCCAACCTCAAGCTTGTGATCAAAGGACATGCTTTCCTTTCCCATCCATGCACTGCCCATGACCAGGTTTTATTCTTTCCTGTGAAATGTCCTTAAAGCTGCTCTGACTTCTATTCTCCCATGTCAGTGCATCAGATGATCACCTGAGAGGCCGGCGCTCAGGTGATGCGGGTAAAACTGCTGCCTGCAGTTTCAGCATCCCACATGGTCACCAGTTTGAGTTCTGGCTGCTCCATTTCCAGCCCAGCTCTCTGCCATGGCCTGGGAAAGCAGCAGAGGATGGCCCAAGTCTTTAGGACACTGCATCCGCAAGAAAGATCCAGAGAACATTCCTGGCTCCTGGCTTTGGGTTGGCACAGATCGGGCCTTTGCAGCCACTTAGGGAGTGAATGAGCAGATAGAAGACCTGTCTCTCTCTCTCCTGCTGCCTCTCTGTAACTCTCTTTCAAATAAATAAATAAATAAACCTTTTAAAAAATGATCATCCTGAAATTTAAAATGAATTTTTAAAAGTTTCCTAAAAAGCTCTTACTTGAATAAGAAGCTGTAGTACTGTGTCACCATAAACTTCTCCTCCAAAGGCCACGAGATGTTAACACCTAAGAAATGAGTATGCTATTCCTATAAGAGGTGGGTACTGCATTCTACTTAAAATGTAAACAACCAATTACAAAAGTATAAATTTATGCAAGATGTAGATAAAGCTAATATCCAAGTATTATTCCATTTTGGAAAACGCATACAATTCATGAACTGCAAAGTTAATGTGACAAATGCTGAAATGGAATCTGTCAAATCCAATATCTACTCTTACTTATGTACTCACTTGAAGACATCATTTCTGTTAACCTCTGTTAACTGCCGTGGACCTGAGCTAATGCTGTGACTGGAGGAAGACACTGACCTTGATCTTAGCGATCTGCCCCACGACTGCGCCCACGGCTCCGGCTGCTGCATTCACCAGCACTGTGTCTCCACTCTTTGCACCGCAGATTTCAAGGAGACCAAAGTAGGCAGTTATGCTGAGTAAATACAATGAAGGATCTATTAATGAGTTTATTCTTTCCCCCTACAACTCCTTTATCTATATAGCTTGAAGCCCCAGGACTATGGATTGGTAAAAGACAAAAAAAATGCAGACAAAGAATATTTTCAGTTTTCAGTACACCTCTTCCTTTTCAACTCCCAGATGGAAACAAAGGTGATGTGAACCAGGGAGGGAATGGAGAGTGGGTTGGAAAATAGCTGCTTCTCATCTATCCCCAGGCCACGTTTCAGGGGTGAAAGAAAATAGAGCCCCCTAGAACTCTGGGGATCCAAGGATGGAGAGATTGTGGCTCATGCCCATGTGAGTCCTTGGGGTGAGCCTCACAGGGAAAGCCTTCTCCTATCATGATGTCAAAGCCACAGAGCACACACAGTGCTATGCTACGTCTGGGCAGCAGAGGGCTAGAGAGAGCACCTGAAGTTTTCATGGCTCCCAACTGGCAAGGAAGAACTGCTGGGATTTCCCTGTATAAGCCCAAGTGGGATGCTGAAGTTAGCATGCAAGGAAAGAGCTACTGGCTACAAACAGGCAGCCGCCAACAGTAGTGCAGGGGAAGACACCACCCCCTCACTGCATTACCAGTCTGGAGGGGCCGTGGCTGAAGATTCCATGGGCAAAGTTAACGCTTGGAGCAGGAGACCAGCATAAGGCCCACACAAACCACTCTCAAGAAGTTGTTAGGGTGGGTGTTTTTATAGTGGTTAACACACTGGCTGGCTCGCCTGCACCCCACACTGGAGCGCTGGGTTAAAGTCTCAGCTGTGCCCCAATTCCAGCTTCCTGCTCATGTGTGCCCCAGGAAGATGGTCCAACTCCTTGGATGCCTAAACCCACGCAGGAGATCTGGAGGAAGCTCTTGGGTCCTGGCTTTGGATTGGCACAGCTCCTGCCATGGTGGCCATCTAGGGAGAGGACTAGCAGACGTAAGACCTCTCTCTCTCTTTCTCTCTGCTTCTGCTTTTCGTTCTCTCTGTAACTCTGCCTTTTAAACAAAATCAATAAATCTTAAAGAAAATCTTATATAGATAACAGAGATGTATGTTCTTTGTCTTTCTGTGGCTGCCTTGCTTTGTCTTGAAGGTCCATTCACATTGTCACAAATGACAAGATTTCTTTCATTTTATTTTTTAAGGCTAAATACACCTAGCACATTCCCTTTATCCATTCCTACACTTATGGATGCTTCCCTTGATGTTCCCTTCTTCGTCCTATCTCCTGGAATCAGTTTCCACGCATATAATACTCAAGTCTCCTCTTGTTGATAAGCTCTGAACAAATCCTTCTGGAAGGCCAGAGTATCCAGCACTCACACCAATAAAATATCCCCGTGCAACTCACCCTGGCATGCCGACTGTCCCCAGGGCCAAGGACAGTGGCAAGGTGTCTGGCCACTCTGTAAGCAGCTTCTCCAGTTGTTGTCCGTTGGAAATGGAGTGCGATGCCCAGCCTGAATGAGCCAGGACGAGGGTCCCGACCGGCCATGCTGGGTTTTTACTTTCCACAACTCTGAAAGATAGAGCCATGAAGACAATGAGCCCGTCCTCTCAGGGCGTTAGCATGCTATGGGGTCCAGGTTCGCAGAAGGGCGCTGAGGTGGCCATCCCACGACTGCTACCCTGCCATGCCTCTCCATCTTCATCCTCAACCAGTGGCACAGAGGCCGCCAGAGAAGAACTCTCCAACCAACCCAGCCCAGGCATCTGTCTTACCCAGTTCTCCTCTGTTCAAGCAAGGGGTCCCATGCTCTGGCTCAAATGCCCGCACACCGGCCTCTTCTCTTACTCAGGGGGCTCCCACCATCCTTCACCCTGCTCTCTCCGGAATCTTCAACACTTTCCTCCCTGCTGGCCTGTTCCCTTAGCCTATAAGCTTGCTCAACTCTGACATCTCCAAGTCTCATTTTCCCCGACCCCTCCCTTCCCTCTTCTTCCTCTGACACCTGAGCCTCCCACTTGATAACCCACTGCAACCTGCCACCCACCCCTACTATTCCACTACAGCCTCCTGATCACAAATCCAGTGGGTAGGGTGGCGCCACGGCTCACTAGGCTAATCCTCCGCCTGCGGCACTGGTACCCAAGGTTCTAGTCCCAGTTGGAGCGCCGGTTCTGACCCAGTTGCTCCTCTTCCAGGCCAGCTCTCTGCTGTGGCCCAGGAAAGCAGTGGCGGATGGCCCAAGTGCTTGGGCGCTGTACCCGCATGGGACATCAGGAGGAAGCGCCTGGCTCCTGGCTTCGGATCGGTGCAGTGCCCCAGCAGTGGTGGCCATTTGGGGGCGAACCAGCGGAAGGAAGACCTTTCTCTCTGTATCTCTCTCTCTCTCTCACTGTCTAACTCTGCCTGTCCAAAAAAAAAAAAAAAAAATACAGTGGGTATTTCGTCAAGATCTCTTTTTACCATCCTGTTCTGTCCAACGCAGTGGGTCACCTGCGAATCTTCCCTCTCTGGTTCCTAGAACAGTCACATCTCCTGGTTTTGCCTGTCCTTTCTCTCTTATTTCTGATTTCCCTTTCTTTCTTATTCTCCCACTCTTATAATTCTTTACCATTTTCCTCTCAGATAATGAATTTATAGAACATGTTTATTCTAGAAAACTTCAAACATATAAAATCAAATAACAGTCCCAACCCTATAACACAAAGATAACTGCTAACATTTTGGTGTATTATGGCAATCTTAATGATATAGATGTTTACATAATTGATGTAGTTTTATGCTTTATAATGTAATTTTTGTATCAACAAGATGCTAGTCTACATAGTGGAGTATTTTTCCATGTTAGTAAGAATCCTTCAAAAACTGTAATGAACTTAATTATTCTCCCATCATTCAGTGATTGCCAGCATCTTTCCTAATATCAATGACATTTAACTATTACTCATAAATGTGAATTTGTTTTTCCTTAGATAATGTTTCCATAAATGGGATTACTAGGTCAAGTGTACTGAAATATCTGTAACTCTTCGTGATTATCACCAAAGTCCTGTCTCGAATGCTGTGCCAACTAAGGTTTCCACCATCAATGTATATAAACCTATCAGCACGTCATCTCTGTCATGAGGTAGTACATTTTAGAAAACCTTTACCAGTTCAACACATACAAATACGTGTTCACTTCTTAGATTATTAGCAAGAAATGTAAAAGAAGAAATGTATATGAAGAAAACTTCTCATAGGATACCAGACAAAATGGAGAAATGGGAGACATACTAGTGTTTAGAGAAAAAGATGATAAGATATGAGTCCCTCTAAACCAGGGGTGGGGAATCCTTTTTCTCCCAAGAGCCAGCTGGGGATTCCTAACATCATTCATGGGCCATACAGCATGATCACTTAAAAATTAGCCTGCTGTAGATCTGTTAAATGCCTAGTCCACCTGCAGCTGCCTTGGCAGGGAAGGACCAAATGATTTCTTGGGCCTTATCCGACCCACAGCCTGGCCTTCCCCACCACTGTAATAAATTCACTGAAGCCCAGGAAAATGCTAATAAAACTGCAACAGATGGTGTTCTAAAATTGGGGTAATTATTAACATTTCCCTCTTTATGTCTATAAAAATTAAGAGTCTGAAAATTTTAAATATAAAAAATTAATGTATAGCCGGCGCCGTGGCTCAATAGGCTAATCCTCTGCCTTGTGGCACCGGCACACCGGGTTTTAGTCCCGATCGGGGCAGCGGATTCCAGGCCAGCTCTCTGCTGTGGCCCGGGAGTGCAGTGGAGGATGGCTCATGTCCTTGGGCCCTGCACCCCATGGGAGACCAGGAGAAGCACCTGGCTCCTGGTTTCAGATCAGGATCAGCGAGGTGCGCCGGCCACGGCAGCCATTGGAGGGTGAAGCAACGGCAAAAGGAAGACCTTTCTCTCTCTCTCTCTCTCTCTCACTGTCCACTCTGCCTGTCAAAAAAAATTAATGTATATAACATTGAGGAAAATATGAATGAACATTTTAGCAATTTTGGACAGGAGAAAGCCTCAGCAAGAGATTAAAGAAAAGCTATAAGTACAAATATTTATAACGTTATTACATAAAGCTTAGCCATGATTAGACACAGGAGAAAGATAAAGATCTAAATATTTGTAATATTAATTTTTTTTTTATTTTTGACAGGCAGAGTGGACAGTGAAAGAGAGAGACAGAGAGAAAGGTCTTCCTTTGCCGTTGGTTCACCCTCCAATGGCCGCCGCGGCTGGCGCATCGCGCTGATCCGAAGCCAGGAGCCAGGTGCTTTTCCTGGTCTCCCATGGGGTGCAGGGCCCAAGCACCTGGGCCATCCTCCACTGCACTCCCTGGCTACAGCAGAGAGCCGCGGCGCCAGCCTGTAATATTAATATGTGTAACACATAAGAAGCTTGCATACATCAATATAACACATAAAAAGTCGTAAAGGGATAGAACACAGGACATAAACAGGTGATTCGCAGGAGACCATTGATAATTAACTCACAAAAGGTCAACATTACCGATAATGACAGAAATCAAACTGAACTAAGCATGAAATATCAATGTGTGCAATTTGGACGTTGAATGATGGGGACGGGCAGGCCTCGTGGTGCAGCGGGTGAGGCCCCCGTCCCATACAGGAGCCCCGGCTGAGTCCTGCCTGCTCTGCTTCAGATCCGGCTTCCTGCTAAGCTCCTGAGGGCCGCAGATGACAGCTCCAGTCCTGGGTCCCCAGCAGCCCCTGCCACCCAAGTGGTATTTCGGGCTTTCAGCTTTGGCCTGGCTCAGCTCTGATTGCTGCAGGTGTTTGGGGAACGACCCAGTGGGTGGAAGATCTCTCTCTCCTTGTCCCTCCCTCTCTGCCTTGCAGGTAGATAAAAATAAACAAACATTAAAAAAAATGGGAATAATTATAGTGAATACTCATACAATCTTTTTTATTAATTTTTAAAAGTTATCTGGCTTGAGGCTGGTGCTGTGTTGTAGCAGTCAACACCCTGGCCTGAAGCACCCGCCTCCTATATGAGCCCCGGTTTGAGTCCCGGCTGCTCCACTTCAGATCCTGCTCTCTGCTATGGCCTGAGAAAGCAGTAGAGGATGGCCCAAGTCCTTGGGCTCCCGCACCCGCGTGGCAGACCTGCAAGAAGCTCCTGGCTTCAGATCGGCACAGCTCTGGCCTTTGCAGCAGTGTGGGGAGTGAACCAGTGGATGGAAGACCTCTCTCTCTCTCTCTCTCTCTCTCTCTGCCTCTCCTCTCACTGTGTAACTCTGACTTTAAAAAACACAGTCATCTTTTAAGGTTCAAACAATGGTAGAACTTTTAGTTTGAAAGATAATATTTTGTGCCGGTGCAGGGGTGCAGCGGGTTAAAGCCCAGACATGCAGTGCTGGCATCACATATGGGCTCCGGTTTGAGTCCCGGCTGTTCCACTTCCAACAGCTCTCTACTATGGCCTGGGAAAGCAGTGTAAGATGGCCCAAGTCCTTGGGCCCCTGCACCCATATGGGAGACCTGGAAGAAACTCCTGGCTCCTGGCTTCAGATACGCAAAGCTCTGGCCATTGCGGCAATGGGGAGTGAACCATAGGATGGAAGACCTCTCTCTCTCTCTCCCTCTCCCTCTCCTCTCTCTGTGTAATTATGACTAAAAAAAAGATAGTCATCTTTTAAGGTTCAAACAATGGTAGAAAATTCAGTTTGAAAGATAATATTTTGTGCTGGTGCAGTTGACAGCGGGTTAAAGCCCAGACCTGCAGTGTTGGCATCACATATGGGCTCCGGTTTGAGTCCCGGCTGCTCCACTTCCAAACCTGCTCTCTGCTACGGTCTGGGAAAGCAGAAGATGGCTCAAGTCCTTGGGCTCTTGCACCCACATGGGAGACCCAGAAGAAGCTCCTTGGTTAGGATGGGCACAAATCTTGCCTTTGCTGCCAATAGAGGAGGGAAGCAGCAGATGGAAGATCTCTCTGTCTCTCTCTGCCTCTCCTTCTCTCTGTGTCTAACTCTGACTTTCAAATAAATAAATAAATATTTAAAAGAAAAAGAAAGATAAAATTTTTATGTTATGTGAAGTTTTACAATAAGCCTGGACTGAATGAATACAGTATTTGTAGTAATTAATAGTAGGGATGACAGAGGGAGGTTGAAATGATGACATTTTCACACCCTGCCCTCACTCCCCATCATTCAGGCAGGGGGGAGGATTTCCCAACATGCTTCCAAGGTCAGTGAGTGAAGCATCCAAGCTGAAGAAACTGTGGGAGCCAGGACAGAGCCGGGGCCAGTAGGAGGTGAAGAGGAGACAGGTTACCAAGCACAGGGACAAATGGAAATAATTACCTGGCCACTTGCTGCCCCATCATTGTGTCTCCCTCCTTCAGTCTTTTGGATCCCAACCTGAAAAACAAATTCCATTCTTCATACTGACGAATAGCTGGGCTACTGTCTGCAGTTTCAAAACAAATGAAAAACCTCCAGGCCGGGATGTGCAGACTGAAACTCAGACACACAAGGCAGAGCAGGTGCACCCTAGCACGGGTTAGAGGCAGCTCTGCTCTGTACCCAGAGAAACCCTCGCGTAGCATTTTCCTATGATGGAACACGAGATGCCCACCCCTGTGTACACTTGCGGGTGAGTTTCTTTCAGTGGCTAAAAATGCAACTCAGGCAGCACTGCATACTTGTTTCCCAAAACCACAGCCACACAAAAAGGAAAACCAGCTAAATCTTACAGTTGTGATTCTAGTCTTTATCCATCAGCTATGAAAAGAATAGAAAGAAGAGTATTTACCTAGTGACCCAGAAAGGCACTGAGCCATCAGTGGGCCTTGGAGGCTTTTTATTCCCTCCCTCCCTCCGGCGTTGTGTACTGAGGACGCCAGGTGAAGGTAACAAGACAGGGCACTGAAGCTAAGCCCCTCCCTCTGCCAAATCCCTTCCAAGTGAAAAGGACAGATGGAGCTGGGCTCCTTGCTTCTTGCAGTTTTGCTGGAAGCCATGCCACCACACAACACCAGGAGAGGGTTGTAAAAGAAAAGGCTGAAAGGGTGACCTTTGGCCAAGCCCAGCACCAAGACGACACCGGGAGGACCAGGGGAAAAGGAGTGTTTGCATCACTTGGATATTTCTAAAGGTGAATGGCTTCAGAACAAGGTCCCCCTGCAGGACTTTGCAGGAGAAAATGATACCTCATGTAAGGATCCACGGAGAGGAACAGAGCTTCCAGCAGGACCTCTGCAAAACAAAGCAGTGCACAGGCATTGAAAACTCACGGCCTTGCTTCCCTAGCATTTCACACAACACAGCTCACCGCTCTGCTGCAGGCTGCCCTCTGCTCTGTGCTTGCCAGGGACAGGCTGCAGGCTCACACCCGCGGCCTAGTCCAGGTATTATGAACGAGGGGTGGCACTGGGGTGCAGCGGGGGAAGCTGCCTGTGGTGCTGGCATCCATATGGGCACCGCTTCATGTCCTGGCTACTCTGCTTCCAACCCAGCTCCCTGCTAGTGGCTTGGAAAGAGTAGTGGTGGAGGATGATCCGAGTGCTTGGACTCCTGCCACCCACATGGGAGGCCACGGGCTCGGCCCAGCCCTGACTGTGGCAGCCATCTGGGGAGTGAACCAGCAGCTGGAATTCTCTCTCTGTGTCTGTCTCTCCTTCGCTCTCTGTAACTTTGCCCTTCAAATAAATAAATAAATAAATCTTAAAAAAATAATAACATATAATGCTGTTTACTCAGCATGACTCCATGCTTTAATGGATTATTTCAAATTTTATTTATTTGAAAGGCAGAGCAAGAGAGAGAGAAATCTTGCACTTTCTGGTTCATTTCCCAAATGCCCACAATAGGCTTAATTTGGGGGCCCAGATCCTATCTGGACCTCCCACATGGTGAAAGGGACCCAACTACTTGAGCCACCATGTGCTGCTTCCAGGGTGTGCACTAGGAGGAAGCTGGAATTGAAAACAGAGCCAAGTTGAATCCAGGCTCTCCCGACACTGGATGTGAATGTCCCAAATAGCATCCTAGCCACTACGCCCAATGCCTGCGCCCGTATGGATTATTTCATTTGACGTTCTCAATAATCACTGCTGCCACTTTGTTTACATTTAGGATAACCTTTCGTTCAAGGCCACACGTGTGACCATAATTTCACGATATTCACATAACATTGGATTATTACCAGTCTCAATTAGTATTAAAGAATTTGTGGGGGCCAGCGCTTTGGCATAGTATGCTAAGCGTCCACCTGCAGTGCTGGCATCTAATATGGGCACTGGTTCCTTCCCAACTGCCCCTCTTCCAATCCAGCTTTTTTTTTTTTTTTTTTGACTGGCAGAGTGGACAGTGAGAGAAAGAGACAGAGAGAAAGGTCTTCCTTTGCCGTTGGTTCACCCTCCAATGGCTGCCGTGGCCAGCATGCTGCCAGCAGACCACGCTGATCCGATGGCAGGAGCCAGGTGCTTCTCCTGGTCTCCCATGGGGTGCAGGGCCCAAGCACTTGGGCCATCCTCCACTGCACTCCCGGGCCACAGCAGAGAGCTGGCCTGGAAGAGGGGCAACCAGGACAGATTCCGGTGCCCCGACCGGGACTAGAACCCAGTGTGCCGGCGCCGCAAGGTGGAGGATTAGCCTAGTGAGCCGCGGCACTGGCCTCCCATCCAGCTTTCTACTAATGGCCCTGCAGAGCAGTGGAAGATGGTCCAAGCATGTGGGCCCCTGCACTCACAAGGAGACCAGAGGAAACTCTTGGCTCCTGGCTTCGGATCAGCCCAGCTCTGGTTGTTAGGACCATCTGAGGAATAAATCTGTGGGTGTAGGACTTTTTTCTCTGTCTCTTCCTCTCTCTTTCTGCGACTGTGAAATTAGTTCTCAAATAATAAAAATCTAAAAAAAAATGAATCTGAATTTGTGGGGCCAGCATTATGGTATAGTGGGTTAAGGTGCCAACTGTGACACCTGTGTCCCATATCAGAAGACCAGCTGAAGTCCTAGCTGCTCAGGTTCTAATCCAGCTTCCTGCCATGTGCCTGGGAGAGCAGCAGAAGATGGCTCAAGTATTTGGACCCCTGCCACCCATATGGGACATCCAGATGGAGTACCAGGCTTCAGCCTAGCTCAGCTCTGGCCAATGCGGCTATCTGGGGAGTGAACCAGCAGATGAAAGATCTATTTCTCTCTCTGCTTCCCCTCTTTCTATGTTACTCTGCCTTTTAAATAAATAAAAATAAATCTTCAAGATTTCAAAAAAGATTTTGCTCTTAGCTGGGGTGACCCTCGTGCACACAGTCTCTGTGGGAATGTTGCGTCTGCAGTGTGGCCATCACAGTGTAGATGGCACTCATAACTTGGCCACGATCCTTGATTGCACTGATTTTCTCCAAAGCCCCCCTACCTCACTCTTCTCATCCAGAACTTTTTTTTAAACATTTATTTATTTATTTAAAAGTCTGAGCCAGAGAGAGAGGCAGAGGCAGAAAGATAGTGAGAGGTCTTCCATCTGTTGGTTGGTTCACTCCCCAATTGGCTGCAATGGCTGGAGTTGCACTGATCCAAAACCAGTCTCCTCCTGATCTCCTACATGGGTGCAGTGGCCCAAGCACTTGGGCCATCCTCTCCTGCCTTCCTAGGCCAGAGCAGAGAGCTGAATCAGAAGTGGAGCAGCAGGGACCGGAACTGGAGCCAATACAGGATGCCGGCACCAAGATGGCACGTTACCCACTATGCCACAGGGCCAGCCCCCAGAAACTCATTTTCCCACCCCTGGAATTCAGGCTTGGCTATGTGACTTGCTTTGCCCAATGGGATATTAGCAAACACAATACAAGTAGGAGCTGAGAAGTGTGTACATATTGGAGATTTCCAGCTCCATCAGCTCTTGACCCACAAGACCACCACAAGAACAGAGCTCAACCTAGCCAGCAGGAAAGACCACACCAGGAGAGCTGAGGCATGCGCCCCAGGAAACCCCTGCCACACCCCACACTGAGCAAGGCCCACCCTAAATCAACCATGCAGCCCAGGTGAGATCTAGAAAAGGCCACCCAATGTAACCCATCCAAACTGCCAACCCACACAGTTGTGCACCAATAAATCATTGTTGGTTAAGTCACCAAAACTCTGGAGTATGGGTTTGGCGTTGTGGCACAGTGGGTAAGCCAGCTCTTGTAATGCACCAGTTTGAGTCCTGGCTGCTCCACTTCTGGTCCAGCTCCCTGCTACTGTGCCTGGGAGAGCAACGCAAGATGGCCCAAGTCTTTGGGGCCCTGCCGTCCACATGGGAGACTGGATAAAACTCTCGGCTTTGATCTGGCTCAGCCTTGGCTGTTGCAGCCATTTGGGGAGAGAACCAGCAAATAGAAGATCTCTCTCTCTCTCTATCTTTGTAGCAATAAATTTCAAATAGGTCTTAGAAAAAACAACAACAACAACCCCTCTAGGGTTAGTGTGTTTCACAGCCCAGGCTGCCGGATAAGTCTCTTCCGACGCTGAGTGCTGGCCTCACCTCCATTGTTTAAGGGTGGGAGCTCCACTGTCTTCAGCTCAAAGTCGCTATCCGTGGGGTGGCCATGGAAGTGCTTCTTCAGGGTCCAGTTCTTAGCACGCACCATCCTGAGGCTCCTAGGATTCAGTAAACACAGAGTCAGCTTCCCTGAGATGACCACACTCTTAGGGGTGCAGGCCATTGCCAAGGCCAGCTGGCACTACCTCGGCACACTCGCCAACAGCCACATTCCATGGGTACTTGTCTGGTGCTCGTGCTGCGCCAAGCACTTCCTATCTGCTATGTCGATTTCTCCTCATAGCTTCCCAACAGACAGATGAGAAAACTGAGGCTAAGGGGCCGGCGCTGTGGCACAGCAGATTAAAGCCCTGGCCTGCAGTGCCTGCATCCCATATGGGTGCCACTTTGAGTCCTGGCTGCTCTCTTCCCATCCAGCTCCCTGCTAATGGGCCTGGGAAAGCAGCGGCACATGGCACTTGGGCCCCTGGACCACCTGGGAGACCTGGAAGAAGACCCTGGCTCCTGCCTTCAGCCTGGCCCAGCCCTGTCGCTGCAGCTACTTGGCGAGTGAATCTGTCTCTACCTCTCTCTGTACCTCTACATTTCCAATAAGTAAAAGAAATCTTTAAAAAATAACACAAAACCTGAGGCTTAAAGAAACCTCCAGGACAAGAAGAAACGTAAAGGACTGGAGTTCCAGCCGCTGGGTTCGAGTTTTCCTCTCCGGAACTCCCCTGGGCCTGCAACCATCCCCAGTTTCTCATCTCACAGGGACGAATCCTCAGGAAAAGAGCGACCAAGGCCAACAACGTGGTTCAGCTGGAGAGGACCCCGCGTTCCGAGAGGCCCGCGGGACCCCTGAACGCCACGGGGGGGCGCCGCTGCTCCGCCCGCTGTTCACGCGCAAACTTTCTTTAGCTCCAGGGGCAAAACCGAGGATTCGCGTTTAAGCCGGGCACCTCATATACCGAGAAATGAGTCGACTTGGCCCGAACTCTCTCGGATCCAGCTGGAGCCGCGCCGTCCCCCGAGTGAGTCAGTTACAGGCAAATAAGCCGCGGGGCTGCTTGCAGTTTCTCGCCCTGCCCCTGTCCCCGTGCGGGCGGCCTTGGGGGCCACCAGCAATGCAGCCGGGCCTCGCCCTTCTTTCCCTCCCCATTCCGGATGGCTCCAAGCAGCCGCCGAGGCCAGGAAGCCCTGGGACGTCCGGATCCCAACTTTCTCGGAGCGCAGGGCGGAGACGCCTGGCAGCACCAGGAGCCCCAGGGCCGGGCGCCCACGCTCCCCGCAGGGCCGTCCGGAACCCAGCAGGGAGGAGGAAGAGCGAAGAGGAAGCAGGGCGTCTGCTCACCGGGGGCTGCAGGTCCCAGTGCAGAGGGAAGGCGGTGTGAGCGCCCCACAGCCCCAGCGCCTGAATTTAGGGCGGGAGGGGGCAGGGGTGGGGCTTGGGAACTCCGCCTGCTCTTCCTTGGAGCCCGGCCCCAGAGGGCGGGGGTTGGTGGCCTCCTGGGGCCTGGAGTCTTGACTTGTGATGGGTGCCATGTGTCCTTGGCTCTCTGCGTGTCAGAGTACCAGTTCTATTGGATTTGGGCTCCCACCTAAAGACCCCGGTTTAACTTGATCACATTTGAAGCCCCTGTTACAAATATAACCGAATGGATCGGGGCTCCTATGATCTCGTCTATCCTAATTACCTGTTTAGAGACCCTGTCTTCAAATATGGTTACAATCAGGGGGATAGGAAGATGAGGTGAGGCACAACTCATCCTCTAACCTGGTGTCTGGGCAGAAGGTGGTGGATCCACACGGTGGGGTTCCATGCAGCAATGGGAAGCGGGTTTGAAGTGCATACAACAGCCTGGATGGACCCTGAGCACCAGGCTGCAGCAGGAGACAAGTCATCAATTGCAGTTCCAGGGAGTAAGAGCAGGTGCGGGTGGGTGTTGGCACAGAGCTGAAGATGGCGCGTGGGGTGCCCACATCCCGTATCAGAGTCCCAGCTCCACTCCTGACTCAGCTTCCTGCTGATGTGCACCCTGGGTGCAGCAGGGGACAGAGGGGGATGGCTCATGGAATCAGGTCCCTGCCACCCACAGGGGAGACCTGAATTGAGTTCTGGCTCCTGGCTTCAGCCTGTCCTGCCGTGTCCAGTGCAGGCATTTGAGGAGTGAAATGGAAGATCTGCCCTTCTGTCTCTGTCCGGTGCTCTCTCACTCTGCCTCTCAAATTAATAAAATTAATATACATTTTTAAAATACTTCAAAACTACTCATTTTTTTAAATAAAGAATGTGCCTCATTGCACACAATATAAGAGTATGTTTTTTTAAAAACTACTTATAGCCAGCGCCACCATAGCTCAATAGCCTCATCCTCCGCTTTGCGGCGCCGGCATACTGGGTTCTAGTCCCGGTTGCCCCTCTTCCAGGCCAGCTCTTTGCTGTGGCCCGGGAGTGCAGTGGAGGATGGCCCATGTGCTTGGGCCCTGCACCTGCATGGGAGACCAGGAGAAGCACCTGGCTCCTGGCTTCAGATCAGTGTGGTGCGTCGGCCACAGCGGCCACTGGGGGGTGAACCAACGGCAAAGGAAGACCTTTCTCTCTGTCTCTCTCTCTCACTGTCCACTCTGCCTGTCCAAAAAAAAAAAAAAAAAACTACTTATATATTAAGTACATCACTACAATGCAGAGACCCAGAGACAAAGACTGAAATCCTCTTGTGCTAGAGGTCGACCCTGCCAGTGGCCTGTCCATACCCACTCTCCTCTTCACTGGTACAACATACACAGCCAACAGTGTAGCAATGGCTGCTGTCCTGTCTTCTCTGTAGTTGGAGTTGTGACTTTGTGACAAGGCATAAGCAGAGATTTGATAGGGTGGAAATTTCAGGGAAATGATGGTTTAGCTGATGAAAAGACAAAGTGACCAACTCAGGAAGGCTCATTGTTGTCCTTCTCCCTGCCTGGAAACGCTGCCTGATATCAGCCAAGTTCTTGTCACTGTGCAGACTGCAGTGTGGGAGAGAAGGGAAGTTGGTTCCTGAGCAGGTGCCTCAGCCCTGGACTTCCTGCTTTGGACTCCTTGTGGCACAAAGACAAAAGTGCTTCTGCTTCTTCTTCTTCTTCTTCTTCTGGACAGGTAGAGTTAGACAGTGAGAGAGAGAGACAGAGAGAAAGATCTTCCTTCCGTTGGTTTACCCCACAAATGGCCACCACGGCTGGCGCTGTGCGGATCTGAAGCCAGGAGCCATGTGCTTCCTCCTGGTCTGTCATGCGGGTGCAGGGGCCCAAGCACTGCCTTCCCGGGCCACAGCAGAGAGCTGGACTGGAAGAGGAGCAACCGGTACTAGAACCCGGCACCCATATGGGATGCCAGCGCCGCGGGTGGAGGGTTAACCACATGAGGCATGGTGCCGGCCACAAAAGTGCTTCTTACGCCATGTGGTTTGGTTTCTGGACCACAGAATGCCTCCCCAATGCGTGGAGCCTGCGCCCCCGTGTTTCCTGGTGGGAATTAATCAAGTGCTTCTCTCTCCTGGAGGAAGGGCGGGTTGTCAGTGCAGTGGGTCGAGAAGCCCCCTCTGCCTGCTGGGCCACTTCCAAAGCTTACCGGGAGCGCGTGGGGCAGACTTCGGGGAAACAGCTGCAGTGCTTACGACACTACTAGGCAGGGTCCTTGTGAAGATCAAGTGTGAGGTGGACACAAAGTACTGGGCAGCAGCAAGCCCCCTAACTTCTTTTTCTTCCGCCCTTCCATCTTTCGATTGTTGTCTTTTAAAAAAAATTTTCAAAAAGGTTTATTTAGGTATTTGAAAGGCAGAGTTACAGAGAGGCAGAGGCAGAGGCAGAGAGAGAGAGAGAGAGAGAGAGAGAGAGAGAGAGAGAGGTCTTCCATCTGCTATTTTACTCCCCAGTTGGCCACCATTGCCGGAACTGCACCTAACGGAAGCCAGGAGCCAGGAGCTTCCTCTGGGTCTTCCCGTATGGGTATGAGGACCAAGGACTTGGGCCATCTTCTACTGCTTTCCAAGGTCATGCAGAGAGCTGGATCTGAAGTGGAGCAGCCAGAGCTCATGGCAAGAGCCTTGGGTGGTCACGGACATCATGATTAAGTGTTAATTGTTAAATTAATAACAGAAGTCGCTGTGCACTTACTCTCTATGTCCTTAATCAGTTGTACCTTGAGAATTAACTGACAAACTTGTTCTCAAACAGTACTTTATACATTCTGTGTGTTTGTGTGGGTGAGTGCAAAGTGTTGAAATCTTTATTTAGTATAGAGTTGGTGTTCTGTATATAAAGTTAATTAAAAATGAATCTTAATGAAGAATGGGATGGGAGAAGGAGCAGGAGGTGCGATGGGAGTGGGGGTGGGAGGGTCAGTAAGGTGGAAAGAACTTCTGTATTACTAAAGTTATTCCTATGAAATTTGCATTCATTCAATAAAAGCTTTAAAAATGAATAAATCATTAAAAATAAAGAAGTGAAGCAGCTGAGACTCGAACCATTGCCTGTATGGGCTGTTGGCACTGCAGGCGGTGGATTTACCCACCATGCCGCAGTGCTAGCCCCCATCTCTTAGTTTTTAAGAAATAGTTAAAAATAGGCTTATTAAGTATCTTTTTGTGATCCAAGCATGTTTTAGGTTCATCAGATAATCAATGATGTGAAAAACACTGTCTACTTTTAGCTATTGACAGAACCTATAAAAGTGCAGCTATTAAAATTCTTTGGATACTAAGAATTACAAAAGTGAAGTGTCAGGAACACAGCCTCCAATACCAACTCCCTTGGCACTGAATGAAGATTTGAGTAAACCTGGCCAGGTAATAGCAAACAAGACCTCTCACCTGTGACTCAGTCAATCTCAGTCTTGCAATTAGCCAAGTCATGGTGATCAGGCTAATCCACAGCACATGAACACGCACTTGCAGAGGTGGGAAGTGGATGGAAGAGTCAAGGACTAAGGTTGCCTTCGCCTTGCTCTAGGAAGAGAAAACCACCATCCTTGCAATCTTCTGACCTTAAACTTTGATGAGCTCCGATCCAGCTGCCTGAGGAAGCAATTCACATAAAACAAGAAAATTTGGTAATAAAGTTTTTCTTCATATCAAATCATTCAGGCATGAGAGGTAGCATTACAGACAGAAGGAGAGACAGAGAGAAAAGTGTTCCATCCACTGGATCACTCCTCAAATGGCTGCAACAGCTGGAACTGGGCTTATCCGAAGCCAGGAGCCAGGAGCTTCTTCTGGGTATCCCATGTGGTTTCAAGGGCCCAAGGACTTGGGTCATCTTCTACTGCTTTCCCAGGCCATAGCAGAGATTGGAAGTGGAGCAGCCGGGACTCGAACTGGCACCCAAATGGGATGCCGGCACCACAGGCAGAGGCTTAGCTCACTATGCCACAACGCTGGCCCCTAAATAAATATTTAAAACAAACTCTGAATAGTACTACCATTCCTAAGATGTGAGAATACCTTACTACACATGGATGCTACAGCAGAGAGACGTTGGCTGTGCCTCCCCCCACAGCATGTAGGAGATGCAGCTGTGAGCCTCGCGCTAGCAGGGTCCTGGGAAGTAATGTGTCTCATCCTCGTGACAACCCAGGGAGCATGTTTTATTAGTATGTTTCTCAGAGCTCAGGAAAACCGAAATTCTGAGAGAAAATATCGTACACAAGATCACATAGCCAGTCAGCAGCAGGGTTGAGGGTTTTTTTTTTTTTTTTTTTTTTTTTGCCATCTCTAAGGTTTTTTTTTAATTTTTTTTAAGGAATACACATTTCATAAGTACAACTTTAGGAATAGAGTTATTCTTCCCACCATATCAACCCTCCCACCCACACTGCCACCCCTCCTCCTCCTCCCTCTCCCTTTGCCAGTCTCATTCTCCATTATGATTCATTTTCAATTAACTTTATTCACAGAAGACCAATTCTACACTAAGTAAAGATTTCAACAATTTGCATGTACAAACACACAAGTGTTTGAGAACTGGTTTTACAGGTAACTCTCAATACAACTCATTGAGGACAGAGGTCCTGCTTGGGGAGTTAGTGCACAGTGACTCTCGTTTTTGTTTTTTTGTTTTTTTTTGACAGGTAGAGTTATAGAGAGACAGAGAGAAAGGTCTTCCTTCCGTTGGTTTACTCCCCAAATGGCTGCTGCAGCCGGCGCTGCGCCGATCCGAAGCCAGGAGCCAGGTGCTTCTTCCCGGTCTCCCATGCGGGTGCACTTGGGCCATCCTCCACTGCCCTCCTGGGCCACAGCAGAGAGCTGGACTGGAAGAGGAGCAACTGGGACTAGAACCCGGTGTCCTTATGGGATCCCGGTGCCGCAGGCAGAGGATTAACCAAGTGAGCCACAGTGCCAGCCCCGTGACTCCCGTTTTTAATTTAACAACACTCTTATGTATGATGTCAGTGACCACCCGAGGCTCTTGACATGAGCTGCCTAGGCTATGAAAGCCTTTTGAGTCCACAAACTCTGTTAGTATTTGGACAAGGCCATAAACAATGTGGAAGTTCAGGGTTGAGATTAAAAACTTAGATATTT